TTCGGGTGGTTCTGGTGGTAAGTGTCGTCCCAAGCTGAAGATTCAGTTCATTTGTAATGACGGCCAATGGTGCTTTACGATTATTATTTGCAATACGGACTAAAGCACGTTTATCACGCTCAGAAAGTACTTCCTGGTGACCAGGGCGTTTGTTTGGGTGTTCTGAGCCTGTTTCGTCATACCGATTAACAGTGTCATACACCGTTGACTTCGGGAAACCAAGAGCTTAGGCAATATGAAGTGGTCTAAAACCACACAGGTAAGCGCCGATAATACGGCTTCGTTAATCTTGACTGAGCTCTTTACGGGGTTTTTTTTCACCATACAAAAAAAAAATAGTTGTACTTCAAAAAAATACAACTTTCGTGCAACAAATATTTAAATATAAAAAAAAATTCACCAAAAAAAGATTATCATATATATCTTACCTATGAAATTTTCGGTGATCTACTTCCGGGCACTGTACCTACTACTTACCAAGAGCTTAACCACAAAGTGCGCAAGTTCTTTCCATTCAACCAAGCCACCTCTACTATTCCACTTGCTGAAGTTGTTTTCTAGCTCAGAGAATACTACATCTTTAAGCTGCTTCCTAATGACTTTTTTGCTACCAAATTTCTCCTTCTAAAGGATACAAGCAAGATTAAAACCACCTCTCTATTCAACTACTCTATCACTGAGAATGCTGAGATAAGAGAGTTCATTAAACAAGTTTTTCCTTACTACCGAATCTCATTCCCAATTTTAGCAGAAATCATACAACCCAACCCAACCAACAAACCCACTCTGCCAACCACAGAAGAAATTACTAAACACTTTAGCATTTTTATCTCTATTACAATTCCACAGCAACTTACTACTACAGTCAAGCTTCTTTGTAAATACTACTACTTTGCCTAGCTTCTATCTGAATAGATCCAAATTAAGAGTAGCCTCCCAACCCAGTAGTGAAAATCAACCCAGCCACAAAGCAAACCCTCCCCAATATCTCTGACAATATAGAGGAAATTATCAATAGCTTCTCCAAACAAGAAATCATTATCTCTCTTCCAATACAAAACCAACCAGACATTACTTCTACAATGAAAATTCTAAGACAATTCTATACGATCAAGAAAATCTCTAACTCTCT